GTGTCCCAATCTACTTGTCCCTATGAAAAAAATAAATTTTAGCCAAAACCTTATTTAAATCAGAGGTGCTTTATGGAATATCTGGGGCTTTTAACAACAAAAGGGGCTTTATGGCGACTTAAACGTTTAATATTTTTAACATTACACTGTTTATCTCCTCCTCCCCTCCCTGCCATTCTTCAGCACTGCACCCAGGGACCTGCAGGGAGGGGGGAGAGACCTTGCAGTGTAATGAGCACAGTTTGGCTGCTCATCAGGAAAGGGAAGTGTTGGGCTTATCCTTTTATCCCTTTCACTGCCAGAGCCGGTTTTGCTTTTTTTTTGCACATGTTTAAAAAAATTATTTAAGGCCTAAAGATTACACAAAACATAAAATGTATCCATCAGAGTACCCCTTAACATAAAATGTATCCATCAGAGGAAAGGGCACTCTGACTGGCCACGTAATGTGGAACGGGGCACTCTGATGGCCACGTAATGTGGAACGGGGCACTCTGATGGCCACGTAATGTGGAACGGGGCACTCTGATGGCCACGTAATGTGGAACGGGGCACTCTGGTGGCCACGTAATGTGGAACGGGGCACTCTGGTGGCCACGTAATGTGGAACGGGGCACTCTGGTGGCCACGTAATGTGGAACGGGGCACTCTGGTGGCCACGTAATGTGGAACGGGGCACTCTGGTGGCCACGTAATGTGGAACGGGGCACTCTGATGGCCACGTAATGTGGAACGGGGCACTCTGATGGCCACGTAATGTGGAACGGGGCACTCTGGATGGCCACGTAATGTGGAACGGGGCACTCTGTGGCCACGTAATGTGGAACGGGGCACTCTGGTGGCCACGTAATGTGGAACGGGGCACTCTGGTGGCCACGTAATGTGGAACGGGGCACTCTGATGGCCACGTAATGTGGAACGGGGCACTCTGGTGGCCACGTAATGTGGAACGGGGCACTCTGGTGGCCACGTAATGTGGAACGGGGCACTCTGGCACTCTGGGCCACGTAATGTGGAACGGGGCACTCTGGTGGCCACGTAATGTGGAACGCACTCTGGTGGCCACGTAATGTGGAACGGGGCACTCTGGTGGCCACGTAATGTGGAACGGGGCACTCTGGGGCCACACGGGGGGCACTCTGATGGCCACGTAATGTGGAACGGGGCACCCTGATGGCCACGTAATGTGGAACGGGGCACTTTGAGTGTAAGGGGGCACTCTGACGGGAATGCCTGATGTAAAGGAGCACTGTGGTGGACACGCTAGATGTGATGGGGATAAATGATGTGAAGTTGCACTCTGAGGACGATACCTAATGTAAGGGGGCATACTGATGGGCACACCCTATTCGGACCAAGGCCAGATGAAAATTTTAGTGACCGGACCTCCTTGAATTTTAATTCAATACTCCTGATGTAGGGTATACCCTTTAATATGGCAAGTTTTGAGTGGTAACCCCACATTCAACTCTCCTAGAGGAAATACCCTGCTGTATTTCAATGAGAGCTGGAGTACATTGTTACCGGATTCTAGATTTGTGCACTATATAAAAATAATATAGGAAATCATTTATTCATCACCTACAAAAAGGAAATAAGTTTAAATATTTAATAATCACCTGCCTAGAATCTGAAAACTGTGCTGGCCTGGTCATTATGTCTATCCCCCCCCCCCCCCCCCTTCCGATCCTTTATTTTTATAGTTGTATGTAAGCAAAGCAAGCTATACTTTTTTTGTATGTGAATTGGCCTTCTCTTCTCAGAATAATAAATATAAAATGTATTTGTAGCATTTTGATCTGTAAATCTACAAACTTGGCAGAGAGAGCCTGACATTTTGAGTTTACAGTATCCCTTTGACTGCTAAAATCAGTTGCTTGCATTTTTTATTATCAACTCTTTTGTCTATGAGGAAGCAATGTTTAGCATCAACCCATAGCTCCTGTCTCTTGGAACCAAATCCATCTGTCCCTTCCTAATCTATCTCTCTTTTTTGTATCTGATATACAGCTTAAGTTATTTTAAGGAGGACTAGTAGAGAAAACCAATTTGTGAAAAATGTGCCTCGTTTCCAAGTCACAAAGTTGGGAATATGTTGACCCATAGTCAGCTAGAGCAGTGAGGTTTTAACCCTTGAGTAGGGTAAACCTTACTGTGCACTGTTCGAATTTCAGCCGATTCTTCTGAATCAGCCAAAATAGTAATAGAGTGGCCCTGCAGGCTCAGCAAAAGTCAGTACCTTTTGTTGAAGACAGGCCAAAAATTGTGTACTGAACAGTGCCTGCGGCTAATTGGGGGGGGTTTTTTTTTTTTTCTTTCTCCACCAGCTGAAAAAAATATCTACTTTACATAGACGTAAATAAAAATCTAAACCATGTACTTTTGTAGTTTTTAACTTTTTTTTTTTTTTTTTTTAGTGGCTCTCACAGCATTTAAACACTATTAAAGGGCAGATGGGAGCTTTAGTTCTCGTCACTCCAGTTGATACCTGCCTTTATGTGTTGCCACAGTGGTTAAGAAGCAATTTGCTGAGTGTGTCATGACATCAAGTCACTAAATAGCTTTAGAATTAAAAGAGAGTCAAATTTATGAGGCTAAGAATGCACCTTCTGCGTGCACGGTTTTCAGTGATGAGCATCTAATTGCAGTTTCTTTTTCCAAAACCTATTTCTCTCTCTAGCAGCCTACAGCAAGTCAGGACGCCCATGGAGTCTGTGTCATAGGATAGTTTATATGCAAAGTGCTACCTGCTCTGTTCATACCTCAGCACACATTAATATAATGACGGTTTGCTGCTGCGGCTTTTCTATACACAGTACTAAATGTAATAGGAAAATTGGGAACCAGATGCTTGAAGCTTAGCAGAGGGTACGTGATAAAAGATTCTTGCGATTACCAGCGGATTCATGGATTGCTCATTGAAGAGGCAGCTGCTGTCTGCTGTGATACAGACTAAATACTGATGACCTTTTCTCTGCATTGTTTGTAGGCAAAGGAATATTTTCACTGTTTAGTTTTGCTTCTTTTTTTTTCATCCATTAAAAATATGATTTGTTTTTATTTGTTTTTTTTTTTACTATAGGACTCATATGTACAGCATATATGATCTAGTGAGATACAACTGGGGGAATGTTAAAACAAATAAATTTTTATTGGGGAGATTTCCCTTAACTCGTGTTATGTAGACTCAATATAAAGCAATAGGGGTATATTTCTGGTGTGAGGGAAATCCCCTCCTAGACAGCTGTCACAGGACAAGTCTCCCCATTCCTCCCTATTTCTGCTCTGATGGCACCTCAAATTTTAGATTTATTTTCACATTCATTAATTTATTCCCAGTGACTTTGACCATGATAATTAGTGAATTTCCCTAATGCACACCAACAGCAATACTGCCATACTGGCAGAGGTTCTAACCCCCTCCAAACTCTATCCAAATCTTAAAAAAAAAAAAAAAAAAAAAAAAAAGCGATATGCTTTAAAGCGGAGTTCCACCGTATTTTTCGCTCCATAAGACGCACCTGACCATAAGACGCGCCTAGGTTTTAGAGGAGAAAAACAAGAAAAAAAATATTCTGAACCAATGGACTGCAGACACAGTACAGGGAATGACCAGAGACTGCGGACACCGTACAGAGATGACCAGAGACTGCGGACACAGTACAGGGGATGACCAGAGACTGCGGACACAGTACAGGAGATGACCAGAGACTGCGGACACAGTACAGGGGATGATCGGAGACTGCGGACACAGTACAGGGGATGATCGGAGACTGCGGACACAGTACAGGGGATGATCGGAGACTGCGGACACAGTACAGGGGATGACCGGAGACTGCGGACACAGTACAGGGGATGACCGGAGACTGCGGACACAGTACAGGGGATGACCGGAGACTGTGGACCTTTGGGGAGGGAGGGGAACAGGTACCCGAATTTGACAGGTACCCGCTCCCACTTCCGTGGAGTTATCCTTCCTTCTTCCAGCGGCGGCTTCTGTGACAGTCGGGTGCCCACTGCGTATGCGCGAGAAGCGCTGCGCTTCGTGAATGGCCCGGAGCCTTCTGGGACCTCTCGTGTCCCAGAAGATGCCGGACCATTCACGAAGCGCAGAGCTTCTCGCGCATACGCAGTGGGTACCCGGCTGTCACAGAAGCCGCCGCGGGACGACTGCAGTGCTGGAGCGAGGAACAGGTAAGGTCCTGCAGGAGAGAAGAACTGAGCGGTCGGCCCGATATTCTGACATGGTGGCGGCAGAAATACCGGACAGGCCGCTTTACATTCGCTCCATAAGACGCACTGACATTTTCCCCCCTTTTTTGGGGGAAAAAAGTGCGTCTTATGGAGCGAAAAATACAGTAAGTCAGCAGCTACAAAAACTGTAGATGCTGACTTTTAAAAAAACAGCCACTCACCTGTCCCACTATCCCACGGTGCCCCCGCCGAAACCCGTTTCACCAGCCGTCCTGTATTCCAGGAGGCCGGCATCTTCAGTGTGGGCACCTGGCTGTGACAGCTTTCGGCTTCACAGCCGGGCGCCCACTACGCATGCGCAAGTAGCGCTGCGCTTCCTGAATGGCCCCGGGGACTGGCCCACTCCCTAAAGGTGTCAATCCTTAATGGGAAGTGGGGGGACCAATCTTTATCCACCTTCTGCCAGCCCTATAGTACAAAGACGGGTGCAAGGTGGTTCTCTCATTCTGATAGGACGTCATATGACATTCTACCATTCTCACTGCGCATGCGCGGCTTGGAGCGCGCAGCTTGGCGATCGCCGATGCGCTGTGTCCCTTGGACACAGCGGATCACGGAAAGAGCCGAAGATTTTGGCTCGGTCATGTGATCAGCTGTGTCCAATCACAGCTGATCACATGTAAACACGGAAATGCCGGATATCGGCTGTCACACTGACAGTTCGAGAGGAGAGCCGGTAATCGGCTTTCCGCAGAGAGGACATGTACACTGATCTTCAGGGCACTGATGATCAGTGTGGCCCCAGAAGTGCCACCTGTCAGTGCCACATGCCAGTGCCACATCAATGCCACATAGTGCATACCAGTGCCCATCTGAGCTGCCTTTCAATGTCACCCATCAGTGCCAGTCAGTGCCACCTATCAGTTCCAGTCAGTGCCTCCTATCCGTGTCATGTATCAGTGCTGCCTTTCAGTGCCCATCAGTGATGCCTGTCAATGCCCATCAGTGCAACCTACCAGTGCCACCTATCAGTGCCCATCACTGCAGCCTCATTAACGCACATCATTGAAGGAGAAAAATCACTTATTTACAAAATTGTATAACAAAAACGAAGAAAACTTTTTTCAAAATTTTCAGTGGTTTTTGGTTTGTTTAAGAAATAATAAAAATCCCAGCGGTGATTAAATACCACCAAAATAAAGCTCTATCTGTCTCAAAAAAATGATAAAAATTTCATATGGGTACAGTGTTGCATGACCGCACAATTGTCATTCAAAGTGTGACAGCGCTGAAAGCTGGAAATTGGCCTGGGCAGGAAGGGGGTATAAGTGCCCTGTAGGCTAGTGGTTAAAGCAGAATGTTCCCTTTTGGGTGGAACTCCGCTTTAAGCATTTTTGTGAGCAGATATTAATTAACCATTCATTTTTATGTTTACAGTCTGTCAAATTTCTAAGTATTCTTATAGAATAGTACGGATCTGTCTATCCCGCTCCCCAAAGATGCCAATCTGAGGAGCGGGGGACATTGGCTTAAAGCAGAACTTCCCCTTTTGGGTGGAGCTCCGCTTTAACTTCCATAAACAGCCTGGATGTGTCTGTGAGATGGTGGCAGTTCCATCTTTGTTAAATGTTTGTATCACTTTTGCTACTGTATTCTGACTGATCATTAAAGCTTTGATGATCATCTTGTACCGTTGACTTTTCTTGTGCAAAAAAATTAATTTATTTCTCAGGCCTTGTGACATTTCTCTTCCATGTGGTGAGAGCATGAAATTGGAAGGGATTTTCTTTAAGTAACGCCCTTTTATAATCCAATATCTGCTAGACACCTGTTAAATGAATAATTAAACTCCCCTGTAGTTAAATTTTTGTTAATTAGGATTTTAAAAGTTTGCTTTGCTCCTAAGACTTTCATTCGGGTGTATTACATTTGCAACATGGTCTTCAATGAATTAGGAAAAATACTTTTTTTGCATGTGCAAATTAACAAATTATGTTTGTAATCAATGGTCCCCATTTGTTGGAGTATTTTGTAGTATAGTGTCCTATAGAAAATGTTGATTCTGATAGGAATGTAAAGGTTTTCTGACAAATTTGTTGGTGTGTACTCAATTATGCTGAGAACCGGTGGTGTCTGCACTAATTACATTTTGGGTCCCTTCTGGCCTGTTTCTACTGGCCAGTAAAGCAGCCAGTTGCTGTGGTCAGTGTTTGAATAATTGAACACTTGGTTTTTGGGCATACCCAAATACTTTGAAGATAAGCCAGGGGTCATTTTCAAAGGTAAAGTGATCCCAAAGGTGTACTGTAAATGGTAAATTACATTATAAATTTGGTTCTCCATTCCATTCACCCTTACCTTCTGAAGCAAAACCAAAAATGTAATACATTGCAGTTTACCAATCCTTAGGTGTAGTGACTGCATTAGTTATCTTTCTTTGGGCTTGCTTTCCTTTATTTCACCTGGTGATTCAGCCAGTAACACACTGCCTGTCTTCCCTGAACGATGGAAACTGACTGCTGGAAAACGTATGTTAAAAAATATCTGTTTAGCCGCGTTTGCATAACACGTTTATGCGTGTTTGCATTTAGAAGCTCTTTTAAAGATAAACACAGGAGAACCTCCTAAATGCCCAGAATGCACTGAAAAGTGGTAAATTATTAACTATTTCAGACTCGGAGAAATACAGAGAGTAGAAGCAGAGATAGCAGTATGTGTTGAGATTAGCTTAGGTTGCTCATTAACATTTCTTTTGTTTCCAAGGGTGGGAAAGGTGTCTGGTGGAGTGAGTCCACCTCGCAGGGGGTCTTCATGAGGAATTTGAGGTGTGAATTTTCATTAACATATCTTTTGTTTCCAAGGGTGGGACAGGTGTGAATTGGTCATTACAATGTGTGACAAGCTTGGTAGGAACATCCTGTGTTCAGTGTTTTGTACAGTTGAGTACCTTGAAAACACTTTGCATGCATTTTTCATGACGAAAAAAAGGCTTTGGACAGCATCGGGAACTGGAAGAGTTAAAAAAAAAAAAAAAAAAAAAAAAAAAAAAAAAAAAATGCTTATAAACACGATTTGCCGCATTTACAAGCGTTTTGCATTTGAAATGCTGATAAAATCGACTGCTGAACGCATGTTTTCTGCGTTCAAAAAAACGACTGTAAACTCAAATGCCTGTAAACGAAGATGTGTGTACATGGACACATAAGAAAACATTAGGGTGAGTTCAGAGGCTACTGAAAAAAACGCTGAACAGCTCCTAAATGTGAGTTTATCAGCTGCAGTGTATATGAGCCAAGGGCTGTCTGCATTCTGGATAAAGTAGCAAGGCATACAGCTTTCGGCAGCATCGTTGTCAGTCTGGGAGAGGGTAGTGTTTAAACTAGCAGATTTAGATGGACTTGACTGACAAACTGAGGTAGAACTCCAACTAATACTTTTATAAACAGCTACAGCAAACTGTTTTTTGTTTTGTTTTTTTTGGTTTTTTTTTTTTCTTGTGTTATTTTCAAGTTTCAAAAATTTTTATTGAAATATTTCAGTATAACAGGGTATAAGAATATTGCAGAACATGAAATACAGTTCACATTCAAGTAGAACAAGGCGTTAGAGTGGTGTGCGTTCCCCACCATTTGGCTAGGGCTTACAAATGTTTAAGTTGCATTGGCCTGAGAGGTGTGCTCGGTTAGGTGTGAACCGTATTGAGGTGGTGGTGGGTGTTGTTGCATAGAGAGGGAGAGGAACAAGTGGAAGGATGGGGGCGGGGGGGGGGGGGGGGGGGGGGATAGGGGGGAGATATGCACCAGTCTTGGATGAAGGGTCTAGGAATTGCAGAGGAATTGTCAGTCTTTTACTGTGCAGTTTAGGTTCTGTAGCCATCAAGACCATTGGATTTTGAAATGGTGGTAGGATGTGTTGATGGGAGCTGTGCTCCTTTCCATGTCGCATTGTGTGTTGAGATCTGATATAAGTGTGGAGAGGGAGGGAGATTTAGTAGAGTTCCATAGCTTAGTAAGATTAGTCTTAGCAGCTGATAGAGTATGAATAATAAATGTACGCGAATCTCTGTGGAATTTGTCGATCCCTATGTGGAGGAGTGCCAGGGCCGGGTTTGGTGGGATTGGGGTATCAACGATTAATGTGAGAAGATGAAAAATGTTGTTCCAATAGGATCTGAGGGATTTACATGCCCAAAGTATCTGAAGAATTGATCCTGTTTCTCCGCATTGTCTCCAACAGGCAGATGAGCGCTGAGGGTAGTATGAGAGTTTGGTTGGTGTTAGGTACCATTGATGTAGGATTTTCATATATGATTCCCAGTGGGAACTACAACGGGATGCTTTATGAGTAATTGTTAAGGTCTTCTCCCATGTGTGTGATAGAATTGGTTGAGAAAGGAGTTTCTCCCAGTTGGAGAGAGAGGAAGATTGTAGGGAAAATCGAGAGTTGGTTATATAAGTGTAAAATGTTGAGATCCCTTTTTTTGGGTACTGCGGTTTAAGAAGTGGTATGCCGTGGATGGGATTTTCAGACAGAATGGGATATTTACTTTCTGTATGGAGTGAGCTATTCTTAAGTATGTAAACTGTTCATTGTTGGGAAGGTTGAATTTTCTCTGAGGGGTGTGGAAGGAATCTAAAGTATGGGTTGTATAGAGGTCTTGTATGAAGGAGATGCCACGATTTACCGTTGTAGCAGAGGTAGGGAGGGAGTGATGAGATGAAGTACTGTAATTGGAGTAAGTATTTGTTTGGTTTCTGTCGGGTTTAGGGTGAGAAGATCACTGTCGTAGTAGAGGCGGGTTGGTGGGGATCCTCAGGTATTATATGCCATGTTTTCAGTAAAGCAATACCTGCTTCTAGATTTTTAATCGTGTGTATTCTTCCCTGATGTTTGATGGTTAGTTTGATGGGAAAGCCACATTGGTAGCCTATTCCATGGTTTCGTAGGGCCTTGGTGATGATCATCTTTTTGCGGTTAAGGAGAGTGGCTTTCGACAGATCTGCATATAATCTGATATTTGCATGTGATGGCGGGAGCTGGGGGGGGGGGGGGGGTTTCTGGCTGCTGTCATTATTTTTTCTTTTATATGATAAAAATGAATGCACGCCAGGACATCTTTGGGGATGGACGCTGATAGGAATGCGGGTTTAGGTATTCTATGCGCTCGATCTATGGCGAGCTCCATGTTTGAGAGAGATGGTATGAGGTGCTTCATATATTGTTGAAGATATGCAGTTAGCGAATCATTAGTGATATTTTCAGGGATGCCTCTGAATTTAATAATATTGCGTCTGGAACGGTCTTCTAGGTCCGCCAGCTTCAGGTTTATTTGCACAATTTCAGAAGTGTGGTCATCGTGTGCGTCAATTAAGTCGTTATGCGCTGTAATTACATCTCCCAATCTCGTCTCAATATGGAGTAGTCTGTGCTCTTGTTGCTGGACCGCATTTGAGATCTGGGATACTGATGTGGTTATATCATTATGTAGTGTCTGCCGTAAAAGATAGTAGCATGTTCTTCATGCAGATTTCTGTGATGGGCTGATCTGAGGCAGGGAAGGACTCTATTAAAGATGGCTCTGTGGTATGCGGAGCAGAGGGATGGCTGATAGTCAGTTGGATGGTCTGAATCTAGACGAGGTCTAGATTTTGCTGGGCTGCTAGTGGTGGGTGACAGAGGGGGAGATAACTCAACTGGGTCTCCAGGATACAGAGGAGAGTGAAGTCTGTCATGCAGCAGCTAAGATCTGTTGTCCCCCTCATGGCTGCTGTGTGCTGTGTCCATGCAGCCGGCGCCATCTTTGATCCCTGCCGAGACAGCAGGGAAGAATTGGGTAAGTTTCCCTGGTTGCTCAGGAGCTTTGCGGCGGCGAGGCATGTCAGGTGAGGGTTGTACACCCTTTATGTATTTGCCTGTATGCTCAGGGTCGGTGTGAGCTGCGGGTGGACGGAGCGGAGCTCAGCAGACGTCCATTCGGGAGCCAGCCGCGCATGCGTCCCCTTCTTGTGTTATTTTTTCTTTATTGGGTAAAGCATAAAAGATGAGAGGCTGCCTGGCATTGACAGGCTGGACAGTTTAAAAAAAAAAAAACATTTTGTATGTGAAGTCCTTAATTTACAATTTACATCAATCGT